GTCCCACTTAGTGTACGCGTGATAACACACTACTATTTATAATTTAATATAAAACTTCCTATTAAAAGTTATTTAAAATGTATTTTACAAAGAGCTTGATATTGGTGGGACAGACTTCTCAAACTTTCCTTGATCCCTAGGACACATCTGGGGTCAACACTAGCCCATTACCAACTTAAGAGGAAACCGATCTCAAACAGGCACACAGCTCCATTTCCATTTCAATTCCATGAACCAGCTAAACCACCCTCCATTCAGGAACAAACAGAGCTCTTTTGATGGGGTCTGTATGCCTTTAGTCAATCTCAGGTCAAGAGCACAGCCAAGTCCTTCAGTTACAAAGCAAGCTGAGCAGCTCAGCTGCACTGTGGGCTGTTCCAGGGATGGTCAGAACGGACAGGCAGTCAGAGTGATTAAGGGCCAGAGGGCATGACGAGATGGAGAGCAGAGCTAGGGAGAATTTGCACTGCAGCAATTAGAAACTAGATCCCTCATGCTGAAGTGGAATTTCCCCTGATCTCAGCTTTGCAAGGCTTGTTGTATTAAAAACTAACTGCCAAGCACGGTGGCTGCATTTTAAAACTAGAGGACTTGCTGAGATCAGCAATTCCCATGATTAACAACTTGTCTACCCACAATGCACAGGAGAAATAGCATAGCCACTATTGTACAGCTAAGCACAACACCCCCTACATGTTCTCACCATACCTTCCTTTTGGTATTACAAAAGATGACAGCTTGTGTGATGGTAAGCGTATCATACAGATCACATAGTGTGTCAAACTTCCATTCTTCCCTCTCCACGGCGACAAAAAACTGCTTGATTCCTTCTAGAGTCAGTTCATCACTGCCAAGAGAAAAGATAACAGTTTTTGAGTTAGCCAATAAGGACAGAAATCAGAACAATACATTTAAACCTTCTGGATAGTTTGTAAGCACTCACACCATCTTGTGCACAATAATCTCTTAGTGTTTCAGGAATGCAGGGCCCTAGGGCTGCCTAAGGTGCCTTGGTCTGGCACTCTGCAATGTTGAAAGGATGGAGACCCTGCCCAGAAGTTCAGAGACTGCAGGTTTGCAAACTGTAATGCAGGAAGAGGTCTCTGCACCCAAGATGGACTCCACAGAAGTAAGGGGCCCTCATGCTGAAAGGAGTCTCACAGGATCAAGATTTAAGACAAGAGTAGGGAGCTGCAACACATGCAAGGAGAGGAGGCTGAGGGTCATGACTGCATGAGTAACATGTATGAGATTTCAGGCCTGTATGAAGGCCGTGGTTCCGAGAAGTCCCGGCAGGGAGCTGCTTTGAGTAGGAACTTAAAAGGGACCAGTGAAACAAAGATCTGAGCTCGTGTCTTATTAACAATGCATATGGGACCCACAAGGTGATATTTTCCATTCCTACTGTTTTTAATTAGCAATTCTCAAAAGGGAAATTCTGGGAACTAGTGCAATACCCACATCACCAGAAACACCTTTGCAGATGAAAGGGACCCAAAGTCAGACTGCTCACAATTCTGGCTTGGCTGCTACCTGTGGAACTCTTACACATATTGGGAAATCAAAAGGTCTCTGATGTTTAAGACGCAAGAAATCCAAGAGCTCTCCAGTAGGCTACCAGCAAAAAACAAGACTTGGCTTCCCAAGTACTTCCAAGGGGAAGCCTCCCTTCCTTGTACATCACAAACTACAGACAGAGATGGTCCTCTTTCCTGGAAGAGCAAGAGAAGGCAGGGCAAGAGTGAAAGAGGGACTGTGTGCGAGGACAGCAGAGAGAATCCCAAGGCTACACGAAGTAAGGAGGAAGCAGGACAGAATAAAGCTACAAGAGCTGTGGAGGGAAGAGGTTTGTGGTAGGGAGGGGCCTTCCTTTATTCATCCAAGAAAGAAATACTTCAAAAAAGCTCACATTCAAGAGCCCTCAGTTCCAGAAGAAACTCTATTTGTGAGATCAGTGGGAACCTAGTGAAAGAAGCAAGACGACCCTGTATCAGACAAGCAGAACCCAGATCTGCTCTTCTGCTGGCAACGTCACTCACCGTTTAACTAGGATACGAATAGGGTCCGTCATGAACTTATTGGTCATCTCCAGGATCTCATGCGGCAAGGTAGCACTGATAAGAACCACCTGTGTAGCTGGAGGCAGGTACCGGTACACATCGTAAATCTGCTCCTTGAAGCCTGCCAAAGCAAACCAGACAGCAGAGCCCTGTTGACACCTTCAACTCCTTTGAAAGCACTGTGTCTACAAGGGTTCACTGGGAATTCAGGACTAAGGCTATGCTGAAGATTAGATGGTACTGCACTCACAACTCACCCAAACAACTTCACTCCAGCCCCCACTCTGCCAACCTCCTAGATTTGGTGTAAGACAGACATTCCAGTGAGGAAGGCTTTGCTAAGGGCTCAGTTACAGGTCTCGTGTTTTTTATAAGGGCTTATATTCCATGAAGCAAAATGTGCTAAGTATCACACTCTTTTAAGAGCTGAATTGCTGGCTGTCTGCATATTGGAGACTGGGGGCAGCAAGGCTGGGGAGAGCACACAGCACATTCATACTTACCTTTATTGAGCATCTCATCCGCTTCATCCAAAACCAACATTTTGATAGCCCGCGTCCTCAAACTTCGGCGACGGATCATATCTGCGAGATTGCACTGTGCATTACAACCAGCCACCAGAGGCACGGAACCTCATGCCCACAGTTAAACAGTTTTCATTTCTGAGAATTCAATATTCTGGGTCTCAGGACACCACTAGTTTTGTGATGTAAGCCACTCCTTCTCAAAGAGGAAGCAAATCACAGCCTAACTGTAGCATGGCAGCTAACCAAGCAACTGTAGCTGGACACAATGTGTGCACATCCTTTAGGACCCATCTCATGCACCAGCAGGGATCCAGGATGTCACCTCTGGATTATGTATGAGGGTGAGTGGTGACTATGGGCTTTCCCACTGTATCAAGGGAGAGCCTTTACTCATACCACAGTGCTAGTAAGAAGCATGTAGTGCTTCCACCCACTCCTGCCCTAATGGAGGAGCAGTTTCCGGTGTTGCCAAGTTGGCAGCAAAAAATTAGAACTGTCAGGAAAATAAAGTTAGAACTACATGCTGAGCTGGCCAAAAATGGGCACCGGCAGCCAAGTTTACAGTGGCACCAAGTTGCTGCAAATCATATTCCAAAACCATGCTACAAAGGCTGGTCAGCCAGAAACAGTCAAGCTGCTTTTTTCCAGTCTCTTCCCTTGGGCTCCATACTGCATCTGAGGCACTGTCACAACAACATCCTCCTAAGTAAAAGATATTCTCTCCCCTGAGCGGATCTACACACAGCAACAAGAGAAGTAAAATTTGTCATACCCAAAAGAAAGAGAGAGACATAAAACCTCTCTCCTGTTTTTCATGAATTATTATTCCCAGACGGTAATGAGTTACAGACCAGGTACTTTTATATTTATGACGTCCCTCTAAATGGCCATTTCATGTTTCCATGGGCTGAACAAGCTGAAGTACAAAACTCATATTGAACAATTTTAATACATCTCTGGTACGAAGCAAGACCTGGTATAAACTCCCACTGTTCTCCTTACCAAACACACGGCCTGGGGTCCCAGCAACGACATGCTGCCCGTAATCCAGTTTTCGAATGTCTTCACCAACATTAGTCCCTCCGATACAGGCATGACACTGGACATTCATGTAGTCACCCAGAGCAAGAAGACCCTGTATCAGACAAGCAGCACTTAGGCAGTTTACAGTGACTCCACGTAAACTTTAGTTGCAAAGACTGTCCTGACCATCTGTACAGCTCTTTTGCCCTAGATTTAGGAAATCCACATTTTTTTCCACCCCAAACCTTTCTGTGGTCTCCTCCAACCTGTGATGCTTCTGTGCTTTCTTTGGAGAAGCAATAGCATGTAGGAATCACTGGAGTATTTGTGTGTGTAAAAAAAAAAAAAAAAAAAAAAGCAGCATCAAGAACAACTCTGCCCTGCAAGTGAAGGAATTTCAGAGTCCCAAGTAAAAGAAAACACTATCGCCACGCTGAGTTTAACTCCCTAAAAACTCAAACTAGTAATCTGAGCTTCCAGCTCAGGTATCACAAGTTTTGCAGCTGATTTTGAACAAGTAGTGCGTTCTGCAAAGAGGAAACCTTTCCCCAATTGTAACATTTCTAGTGAATTATGAGTTTCTCAATTCCAAAGGTTTGAACAGCAGAACATTTTGAGGTTCAGAGTAAATGAGAAGCCCACAATATCCTATTCCAAAAATGCCATTATGAAAAAAAAAAAAACCTAGAGCAGCAAGGCAAGGGTTTCAATACTATCCACTGTCAGAGCCTGGATTGCTCTACCAGAAGAACACCCTGAACGGGCAGGGCAGATCACCAAATCAGCTCCATAATTTTACTAAAAAACCTGGCACACAACTGAATCGCAAGAGGAGGGCCAGTATCAGCAGTGGCAATACATTATGCCTGCTGCCTGAATCTTCCTCAGAATTAACACTAGAATCGTGAACATTCCACAGAA